GTTTTTTGGCTATGTGCAATTTTTACCGCCGTTGTATCCCAAACGCAGCAAGTACACAAGCTATTCTTCACGATTATCTTAAAAACAGCAAAAAAAACGACAAAACACCAATTGTATGGACCGATCAATCAACGGGAGCGTTCGAGAAAACTAAAGAAGACTTAAAGCGAGCCACAACATTATCGTATCTAGATCCGGCCGCGAATATTCAATTACGATGTGACGCGTCAGATATGGCGATAGGCGCAGTAATAGAACAATTTAAAAACGGCGTTTGGCAACCACTTGCTTTTTTCTCTCGCAAACTTGACCAAACACAAAAAAAATACTGTGCATACGATCGTGAACTTCTTGCGGTATATGAAGCCATTAAGCATTTTCGCTATATGCTGGAAGCCCGTGAATTTGAAATAATTACGGACCATAAGCCGTTAGTATACGCATTCACACAACACTCAGATAAATTACCACCTCGACGTGCACGACAACTTGATTTTATTAGTCAGTTTACAACATCAATACGGCACGTAACAGGTACACAGAATACAGTGGCCGATGCGTTATCGAGAATAGAAACTATAAATGCACCGCCACCGCTAGATTATGACAAGTTAGCTTACGACCAGTTAGCAGACGCAGAACTATTGTCGTTATTGTCAAAACCGGAATTATCGATAAAACTAGAGCTCGTAAATATGCCCACTACGAACACAAATATTTACTGCGATACTTCTAATGGTAGACAACGACCGTATCTTACCAAACAATTTCGCCGCAATGTGTTCAATTGTCTACATAATCTCGCTCACCCAGGTATACGGTCAACAATAAAATTAGTGAGTAGTCGTTTCGTGTGGCCGTCGATGAACAGTGATTGTGCGAAATGGACTCGTGCGTGTTTAGCGTGTCAAAAGTCAAAAATAACGCGACATGTTATAAGTCCGTGTGGTATTTTTAATGTGCCGAGTGATCGTTTTTCACATGTACACATCGATATAATCGGTCCTATGGTCATGTCACGTGGTTGTACTTACTGTTTAACCGCTATAGACAGATTTTCTAGATGGCCAGAAGTTTTTCCAATTCAGGATATTTCGGCTGAAACCATAGCTCGTACGTTATTTGAAGGCTGGATAGCTCGATATGGAGTTATGGAGAGATTGACAACAGATCAAGGACGGCAATTTGAGTCTACTCTGTTCACCGCAGTAACGCAAATTTTAGGGTTTAGAAGAATACGTACATCAGCATATCATCCACCAGCCAATGGTTTAGTTGAACGATTCCACCGATCACTTAAAACGGCAATAAAGTGTTACGAAACTGAGCACTGGACAGATGTACTCCCCTCAGTTCTTATGGGCCTTAGATCAGTGATTAAAGAAGATCTAGGTTTAACACCTGCAGAAATTGTATTTGGAAGTACGATTAGATTACCTAATGAGTTTTTTATGCAGTCATCAGTGGCGACAGACCCTTGTTCCTTTGCTGAAACACTAAAGAAAACAATGGAAACCATACGCCCAGTGTCAACTTCAAACCACGGAAGTAAAAAAGTTTTTATATATAAAGATCTAGCATCCTGTTCACACGTTTTCGTTCGGGTCGACCGGGTCAAGAAACCGCTAGAACAACCATATGAAGGGCCGTACAAAATTGTTCAACGATACGAAAAAACCTTTAAATTATTAATTAGGCAAAAAGAATGTATCATATCAATAGACAGACTGAAGCCATGTTTCAACGAAAATGAAGATAATAACACAAATCTATCAATAACAACGAACCAGCACAACCAGAGAAATACAACTACAAGACCAACAATAATACAAACAAAACAAACCAAGTCAGGAAGAACCATCCGCCTCCCCGTAAGGTTTTTGTAAATTGTGAATTGTATCACTTTTATATTTGTATTTGTATTTTTATATTTGATATTTGTAACTATGTATGTTTAACGTAAAATTATCGTTTTCACTGGAAAGGGGGTAATGTAGGGATTAACAAAGATGTTAAATAACATGTCACAATGAATGCGTTTATATATGTTTATATGTTTTATCTTAGATGTACTGCAGTACGATAACACTCCGTATATTTTTCTTATTCTCGCGCTGTTCGTCAATCCAGTGACACTTTTTTATTTTGTACTCTTTTTTTATGTATGTATAAAATCATTTTTCATTATTAAAAAGTATTAATTATTATAAATTTTAATTGTAGTATTTTGTAATAAATATAAACACCAAAACACTACAAACGTTAACTTATGATTTCACGTAAATATAATTTTGAATATGAGTGTATAACTGTATTAGATAATATAATGAAAAATCTAGTCAGTGTAATGTTACTGGTATACCCAATAGAGTATTCAAGGGGAGCTAACAGTGCTAAAACTCTTCGTTGATTATATGATATTTTACGACTATTAACGATATAAAATTAAAAATTGTAAATTGAATTTAATGATTTAAATAACTAAAGTCGGACCATTGTTGTACGTTACATGTAATAATAAAACAACATAAAGCTTGAAGAGTAAAATTCTCCTTAAAAATTAATTTAAATTGATGTCTAAAAATGCATATATTAAGACAATACACGACTTTTACATCCACCACGTATAATGGTATGCCCCTAACTGCCTAAGCAGAATTTAATTTGGTGGCATTGCTCTTGAAATGATAATTACAAACTCTATAAATTCTTTAGAGTTATCACGTGGGTATATTGTCTTTTATTTTTCGCAAATTACAACATATCATGAGCTATGTCATTGCTAATGATATAATCAGTAAAACACAAATAAAAGCTTAATTTGTCTGTATTACTCTATTCTGATTGAAATCGCTTGAAAAAAGTTACGTTGTAATACTAATATGTAGGCATAGACTGACAAAAAAGACACGGGATGGTACATAATTTTAGGAGTCATTGACAGGATTTAACATTTTATACACTGTTTAAAAAACCGAAAATTTCGAATTAAATTTTTTAAATATGTTTTTTAACAACCCTGTCAATCATCAAAAAATGTAATGATTGTAATTAATTTACAATAACACATCTACATCTCTACCAGAAAATTATAACTTTCTTATTGAATATTCACAATAATAATTTGAAGTAGAATAATGAAGATACATTTATGTTCTAGTAGGCGAATAGATATTAAGGCAAAAAATGCTGTTGCAACTCAGTATCTCAGCCATTTTTCGCCTCTAATATGAGATATAAATTTTCCATTTGTCAATAGTAACACAAATATATTATTTATCAACTGCTATAGAATTATTCTTGATTATATGTATGCAATTTAAAATTATTAATTGTACGGCATAATGTACAGAAAATTTTGATTCAAATCAAAAGATTAGAGTTCGATTCAAACGATATAGCAACAGTTCTAATTTTATTTTTTTTTAATGCTCCTGTAGGTTTTTCACTAGATTGTTACAAAAAGGATACCGAAAAAAGCTTATTGTCACTAGTACCTTCTTATTGTGCCTAGTATTTATCAAACTACTTGCGGTCGATCACCTGTATTCTAAATCTCTAGTTGACAACATATCCCTCATATGATGTGACATATCAGCATGTAAGCCTGTTCTTTCATTTTGTCCATGATCGACGCCATTCCTAAGCTTCTTCTTGGATATTCATTCTTTATCCTATCTTGTCACTCCACTGATTCATCTAAGCATTGTCATTTCTGCTACATTTCTCTACTCTAGTTTCTTGTTAAAATCTAAACACTGAACTATATTTAGTCTCACTACAGTTGTTGGATACACATCGGACNTAAGCTTCTTCTTGGATATTCATTCTTTATCCTATCTTGTCACTCCACTGATTCATCTAAGCATTGTCATTTCTGCTACATTATTCTCTACTCTAGTTTCTTGTTAAAATCTAAACACTGAACTATATTTAGTCTCACTACAGTTGTTGGATACACATCGGTCGAATGTGCTGTCGAGCATTTGGGCTGTGATTATTTAGGCTATCGTTGTGCTACACCGAGTTGTTGTCGGTCATCTCTCTATGTCCTCATTGTCGCCACCATTTTAGCGCATTTTTTGTTATAAGCTCTATGGCGCTCGAGAGCCAGTAGTTTTGTATTCGTTTTGTTGTGAAAATAAAATATCACCTTTGCGATTGTCACACCCTGTGCGCTCAGTATATCGCCGTTGGGTCTATATATTTTTTAAGATACATCACAATACTGTTCACAGCATATTGTACACGTTGGTCAGCTATTTGCATTCGACTTGAATTGATCCTTTCAATATTCAACATCATCATCAGCCGATAAGTAAAATGGTTGTTCATTAAGACTTACTCAAACTTGTAATCTATTATTTGTTTATATCTACGCCATTGTGGCATTAGTATTAAGTGTCCCCCCCATTCACATTGGTGTATATAAGAATTTTCGATTCATGTATAATACATTTAATTTTTATAATTATATATTGTAAAATTCATTCTACATTCATCCATTCATACAGGCCACTCACTTTATCCTTTACCTCGACATAGCTTGTTTTAAGACAAAATAAAACAACAAACCCGCGTGAGTACCACCGAGCGCTGCATTCAATCAACAGTCTTATAGAACCTATTTTTCGACATTATTAAGATTTTCTTACTGCACAATACAATACAACAGACGCTTCTCTCCATTTAATACACTGGCGTTTAATCTTAGGCCTCATTTCCTCGCCAATACCGCCGTTTTTTGAATAAATAATCCAAAGTATTTAAAACTTTTCTCCTCACCTATCACATGAAAACGAAGAAAAGTAATAAATAAATGAAATTACTGTTGCATTTGCTCTTAATCAAAAATTCTAGGTTCGCCACTACAGAATATACTTGGAGATAATATTATTTTTGCTAGCATAAAATACAATTTTTTCCATTTATTTTCTTATGTTGTAAATTAATAATATTTTTTTGTTGTGTAATAAACTATCACTCTCTATTATACATACTAGAATATTTTCCTCTGTCACGATTACATCTTCTGGTGTACTGACCACATGGTTGTTTATTGAAAAGTTTTTATCCGATGACCAAGCATATCGTAACCATTTCCTGGTGAGACAACATGTCAAATGAGGAAAGCACAAACGGCCGGTTAATCGATCTCGTTTATCTATAATATTTGACTGTATATAAAAAAAATACAATTTTTTTATTTTTGTATAAATTTAATTTTTTTGCGTTTTATTACTTTTTTTAATTATGTTATACTTAGTATAACACAAAAATCATACAGCTATGTTTAAAAGTAATAAAGTAGTTTTATAAAAAATACTTTATTAACTCTTAAAAAATATATTATTATACCTGAATTGCATTTTTTATTAAATTTAAATCGCACTGGCCGTTGACTTTAAGCAGCACTACGATGAATCCAGTGTTTTTAGCAGTGTCCATAGCTGATCGAATGGACACCGTGTTTATGAACTCTAAATTTGGATAAACGGTTTTCAGACATCTTAACAGGATATATCGGCTAGCTGTGGTTACTAATAAAAATAATAAATACAGTCATAAAATTCGTGATCGTATAATTTTTTATAACTCTTATTCATATAAAAAACTATCAATACAAAACTATAAAATTTAATTTGTAAATTAATATTTTATAATTGTATTGGGGATAAAACTTTTAAGACTTTGAGTCAGAAAACTGGTATTATTGTTATTTAAAAAAAAAATTTCTGTTGGTATAAAATTAAAATTACTTTTATCCATAGACTTAAAGTGGTAATTCAATATTTCTAGAGTGAATTGGATGTAATGGACAACTCTTAATACATATAATGCAAATATTTTTTTTAACTAGTTTTGCATTCTTAAACTATGTTAAAATTATATATATTTCTTTTACTTGTCTTAAATAAGAAAAAAACTCTTTTTTTTTCAAAATTTAGAAATAATCAGTTTTTAGACATTATTTACGAAAAATTTTTATGTTATATATTTTAGAATAAGTACTTATGAGTTGGAAACATTTAAGTATATAGATTGGATAAAAAAAATGGATAAAAAATTACAAACAATTTTGTTCTTATAATTTTTTTTATTCGAACAACCGTTTACGTTCTATAATTATATAAAGATTTTGACTTCCAAAAAAATGTTGTCATTTATTACGTTTCATAATATCGGTGGCAGTGCAACCGGTATTTTTATTAGATCCTTTAGTCTTACAAAACCATAGACTTAGCTATTAATAATACGCCGAAAACCCGGTTTGAATCTATTATTGTTATCACTCATTTAGTGTGTAGTAAATTTTTATAGCTAATTTATCTGTCATAACTTAATCAATAAAATTTGGTTTATGCAACAGCAAATAAAAATAATGACTTCTGTATATAATACAGTAAAATGACAATAGAAATTTGGCCTAAAATCCTTTGACTTTAACAAGCTGTAACGGACGAACGGTTAATCGGATAAAATAAATTATAAGAACAAAATTGTTTGTAATTTTTTTTTCTATCATATTATAAAGTTAAAAATAAGGGTTCCCATTTAAGAAAATTATAAATAAGAGTTTTTATCCTTGAAGGGACGAAAAAAATAATGGTTTGACTACATTTTATTGTAGAGTTTTTTGAACTTGATATTTTTTCTCTATAATAAAATTTAAAATTCTCAATATTTTCTGAGAAAATGAGTGTCTTACAAGATTTTGATCACTCTGTATATTTAAATTTTTTTGTTAAAAAAAGGATAAATAGTAGTTTTTTTTATATATGAAAAAATTAAAATAAATGTATTATTTATTTATGATAAATAATAAAACTTACGCTTGTAATATAGCGTAAGAATGCAAAAAAAAATAAAAAAATTACAGTAAAATGATTAGTGAATAGAAAGTTATAAAAGTTGTTACTTAAATCTGGTTCAATGTGTATATTAATTGGTAAGGTAACATGCTATCTTTACCAGATACTCTTTAGTGACGGTGACGGAGACTCAGTCATTTTTTTGGATAAAGTGAAAAGAGGTAAGTGAGTACGCTCAGTTTCTTTTTTATTTAAAGGGTCATAAAATGATTTGTGTACTATTCCCTTATTAAATAATTATCATGTATAACATAAATACCATCAGATACCTGCATCTATACCAAAAAGATCAAATAAATTTTACTTTAACTTTCCAGTGCTTTTTATAATAAAAAAACGAAAGTCACACTTGCCCCAACAAAGAATTAAAAACCAACTAACACTATTACAAAAATTATTAAAAAAATATCAGCAATGACATGAAAAATCTAATTATTTGATTTTGAAGTACTGTTTATGTACAATTTAAAATATGTGATTATTTACTAATTATATTGAGTAATGATCATTACTGAATTACTTCGAATTTTTTTATTTTTCATTTATTACTTATCTGTTTATCTTAACTTTTATCAATTTTCATTTATCACTTAGAATGATTCAAATCATTACTTATTGCCTCTTTCGTTATCATAATTATTATCCAAAGAAAATATCTGAATATCAAAATTGAGTAGTCAATTGCATAATTATAATGCAATTGGCTAATTATAAGGAAATAGTTTTTTTATTAGATAGAATATTTTATTTATACAGAGTGATTTTTATACCATAAACCACTCAATTACTAACAGATTAAAAACATTGTCTAATTTTTTTTTTTGCTTATTTTTAGTTATATACTATTCATGAATTATTTATCATGTTATCTTTTTAATTTCATCACATATGAAAGTGTCAACTTTGTTTTTTCAAACGGGAACACATATTTTGAGTTTAATAAATTGCTTCAAGTTATCTTTTACTAGTTTATGGCGTTTGAATTTTTAATATAACTAGATTCTTAATATAACTAGATATAAACCTTTAAAGTTGCAAATTTTGAGTTAATATACATGTATAATATATGTGGGATTACAAAGACAGGTACAAAACAGTTATGTAAAAAATAGTAAATAGTTACAATTTTTTTATGAAATCGCTATACGCAAATGTGCAGTATATATTGTCAATTATGACTTTATTCACAGATATATTTAAAGTATGGTAATAAGACATATTGTTTTAAGTTTATAAATACACCAACTGGCAACACAGAGAGAATATCTTAAATTTTCTAACCCATCAAATTGTATTGAAATTATACTGATATTCTTTCAGTATGGTTTATTTTTAGTTTAAACATTTATATAACAAGAAAATCGGAAAACCCACGGATAATGAGATAAATTTTTAATTTTAAATGTTTATTACGCTTTTCATTATTCATTTAAACCAATTATAATTGTTCCCATTAAAACTATACAGAGGTTCAGTAAGTAAGGATACAGCTCAATTGTGACAAACAATGAGAACAATAGAAATCAGTTCCTTACTTACTGAACACTCTACAGGGTGATTTTTTTATCATAACCCACTCAATTACTTACAGAATAATAATAATTTAAAATTTTTTTTTTATTATTACCTTTAGTTGCACATTATTCTTGAATTATTAACTATGTAATACTTTTTAAGTTCATCCCTTATGCCTTGGAGGGGGGTCAACTTTGTTTTTTTAAATGGTAACACATATTTTTAATTTAATAAAATGTTTGAGTTTTTAATTTAATAGTAAATGGCGTTTGAATTTTTAATATAACTTTATTAGCTTATTAGATATAAACATTTAAAGTTTCAAAATTTTGAGTTAATATACATGTATAATACACATGGGATTGTAAATACAGGTAGCTAATTGGATTTTTATGACATTGCTGTCTCAGTCACGGATTGTTTATTATCAATTATGATTATCAATAGATATACTTTCTGTATTGTCAGTTAGTGTATTTATAAACTCATAACAATGTGCCTTACTACAATTGATAATAACAATGCTGTGTACCTGCTAATATCGATGTTATAAAAAACCAATTAGCTACCTGTATTTGTAATCCCTTGTGTATTATACCTATATATTAACTCAAAAATTTGAAACTTTAAATGTTTATATCTAATAAACAAATTAAGTTTTATTAAAAATTCAAATGCCATTTACTATTGAATTAAAAACTCAAACATTTTATTAAATTAAAAATATGTGTTACCATTTAAAAAAACAAAGTTGACCCCCTTACAAGGCATAAGGGATGAACTTAAAAAGTATTACATAGTTAATAATTCAAGAATAATGTGTAACTAAAGATAATAATAAAAAAAAATTTTTAAATTATTATTATTCTATAAGTAATTGAATGGGTTATGATAAAAAAATCACCCTGTATATAAGACCTTTGAATTACTAAGATTATGATTTTTTTATAACGATGCATTGTTTTATTTCCTAACTTAAATTTTTTTTAAATGTATACATTTTTCAAGCAAATAGATTATATTAATTTTTTAAATTATTTTTAGAGTATTTTTTTCAAAAATGGAATATAACACTAAAATTTGTGTAAAACCAAAATAAAGAGATGTCATATCTATCTAAAATGGGGTGATTCAGAAATTAAGGTTAAATTAAAATTTATTACTCTTATAAATTCAATCTTTTTCACTACTCAATAGAAGAAATTTTTATTAACTATCATTTTGATTAGCTAAAAGTGTTATTTTTCAACTGTATACGCACAGTTCAAATTATTTTATACTTTTTAGATGTATAAAATTAAACAGTATATGATAAAATAGTTTCTAGATTTTTGTAGTATGCATAAAGTTCATAGATCCTATTTGGCATTTTTAATAAATTCAAGTCCACAAAAATATTTTGAATGTTAATATAAAATCATGGTTGTAATGAGGAGTAAACATTCTCTTTAATTTACTTGTTGAAAGTTCTGTGGACTCTTATAACAAATTTCTAAATGTGCCACTATAGACTTTTTCATAATTTTCAAATTAGAAAAGTTCAACAGATCAGTCAGTTTTGATCTAGGGAAATTCACTTAAGTTCTATAAATACCTAAGTGAATATGTTACTATTCACATAACATGATTTGTCGTTACTATGATACGTTATAGTAATATTTCTAGACAATTCAAAAATATTGTGGTAACAGGTCTACATACCTTTTTTTAAATTCGTCACATTTCAAAATAATATTATAAAAAAAAGTTTCAAATAAGTGTAAATTTGACAGCCAAAATTTTGAAGGGCTGAATAGATCAGAGTAGTGTAATTTATATCAGATACATTCTGTTTATGCGTTAAAAATGAATGATGAGTCATACAACGGTAACGATTAGTTCTCATATCAATAATAGAACGCATTGTTTGAGTATAATAATTTGTTTATGTTATGGCTTATCTCTTATTATCAAACAGAAAGAAAATTAATTTTCAGAAGAGCTTCTTCTGAAATTTTTTAAATAACAAAATGCTTTCCTTTTCATTTTATAATTTAATTAAAACGATTGCCAGGGCGACCGGTTGATAATATCATTCATCATCAAAAATAATTGGTAATAGAAAACATCTTATTCGCATCATATGGGCAACTTTAAGAGGAATTGAGTTCAAATCTGCTATTGTTTGACTTGCTCAATAATCATTGACGTAGACGGCGTTTTACGATAATTTTAATAACGTCTTGACACGTGTGGATGTCTAAATAGACATAATTAATTTTTAAAAGTAAATACTTTATAGAAAGTTAAAAAAGAGCTGGCTATTGGATTTCAAATAAAAATGAATTTATTGATTGACTAGGTTTGTACCCATAAATAATGTGCTCAGAAGCCAAGCCAATTCACTTCATGTTTTTTAAATCATTTTCTTTCAAAAGTATTTACTTTTTAAATTTTTCTATGCTATTATTATTATTAAAAAAAAATATTAATCATTGAACGGTTGGTTTAAAAAGTGAATTTAATCGCCATAACTTATAAACGCTTCAAAGATTATTGCCCAATTTTGAGTCAAAGCAAATTACGCATAAATCGCTTTAAATTAACTGTTTTTAATAACGTAAAAGGAATATAAGAATATAAAATATGGTTTAAATTACTTATATAACTGCAGCAAAAGAATGGCAAGGAAGTGACGGCTAACATAAATGAGAATAATGTAAACACTTTTTGTCCGCCATCATTCTGCTCCTCTTCTTCGTAATCTACAAAGAGAAAAACAATTCATTGATTAGTTAACAATGAAGCATGATGTACAGATCTTATCAACAAAATTTGGTTAGCTCTGAGTATTATTGAAAGGAGCTTAGACACACTTGGTTTGAAATAATTGTAAAGACTTACAAGTCATTATTTGTATTGGTTTCTTATGAACGCGACGTCACACAATCAAGGGAACGACTGTCGGTCATTATTTCATGCTAAAAGTTTACTTAAATTAAAATTTTATTGTTCGGGTAAGTTTTTAAATCGGTTGAATATTTCAATACAGAAAAATAACTGCTGGTACGCACGAGAGCATTACGTCTGAACAGTTCTGGTGTAGTTTGCTGACGACGAAATCTTATCTTACCGGCGTCTTGACCTTTGCGATAAATCGAAAAATTGCCTGCGCTAGATGTTAAATCCTATATATACTCAACTACAACAATAATATATCAATAAATTGTGTGTAGGTATGAAACTAACCGAGTTTGTGGAAAAATTTCCTAATTTTTGATATCCTGTAATCAATTACATGTAATTTTTTATCTCGCCGAAGTCATTTATTGAGTCAACCTATAATTGTCAGCGTTATACTTTAAATTCGATAAGCAATTGAAGTTACAGTAGTGCTTACGGTAAATTGTTAACTTATTTTGTAGTCTATCGAGGTTTCCGGTAATCGAATTTGGGTCAATTTTCTGGTTCGTTTAGAATTAAAACCCAACAGAGTTGAAAAAGGTAAACAACAAAGAAACAGGAAAATTGTTAGTGTTATCTTTAACAAATTTAATAAGATTACTGTTTCAAATAATTGAATTTTCAAATTGTATAATTTTATTAAAATTTAATTACTATCTATTATTTAATTATTTTTATACATTTTAATTGTTATTTATAAATAATTTAATATTAGGTACTATAAAATTACTCTCAAACACTTTATTAATAAATGAAACAAATAAATTCACTATTGAAAACTTATAAACTATTAACTATAACAGATATAAGTTTTTTTTGTTAAGTTGTTATGTAAATAACGAATACACTATTAAGTTTAAATTATAAGACATTAGCTAAATTTTATAGTATTCAATGATTAGTTTAGAAATTAANATTGAAAAGTTTATGGATCCACACAATTTTTTTATGAGAAATAATATTTTTTAATAAACCCTTTTTCATTTGACATACTTTATCTTTATCGAGATATTAATAAGGAACCAGCAGATCAAGTAGCTTTTGGAATAAAACACCAATTTTTTTTTAATTAAGCACTATCTAAAGATTTGCATCGAAGCGTTTATTTTTGATAGTGATTTTAATCACTGTCAGATATCATTATACTTGATCCAACTATACCACGTCACAACTGTGCCGCGACCCCCCTGTGCTGGGTTTTTTTTTAAATTATGAATACTTAAAAATAGACATTCACAGCAATTACATTATTCTGTTTTTTTTGAAATACCTCATTACATAATGTTTAAAATATGTTTTTTTATAATCGTACCATTCTTTAATATTTTTAGTTACTAGATTAGAATGCAAATTATTCTTAATACATATTTATGTACACGTAAAATTATTACTGTCAATTTGTTTTTACATGGTCAGAATTCGTGATATTAATTTAAGTGTAAGTACAAGATAAATACAGTTCATAACAACAGAGAAGGGGTCGATATATATTTTCTGTACATAATATATGTAATGTAGCTGACTTCATCAAGAACATTATTAAGATATAAAAGAAAAAGATGAAACTTAATTAGATTTATCTTTTTTATTAAGTGGTACTTTAAAAATTATTTTTTTATTTTAGTAATGTTGAAAATTGAAGACATTACTAATATTTGCAATATTGCGAAAATGAATCCGACAAACATAAATATAATATATGTAAATATACATATATAATAATATACATTAATGTATATTAATAATAAACTTAATAAGTATAAATCAATAACTTAATATTACTTAATAAAGTAAATCGTCTTTAATAGAATTTTATGTTCATTGTCTTTCAAATATATTAGATAATTGAAATTTTTTTACTTTAACTTTAATTAATGAAATATCGTTTATCGTTAACTTTATTGAATAAATTATATTATAGAGATGTCATAATTTTATGGTATGAATAATTTATATTAAACTTTTGTCATTTTAAAATATATTAATTTATTTTTATTATTTAAAGTGTTTTAATTAAATTCAACAAATTAATATAGTAGGCATGATCTTATAGATAGATATGTATTAGAGTTAAAGAGTTAACACACAGTAAGGTAAATTTTACTTTTAATTTATTAAACCTAGTCTTTATTTTTTCTATATAAATTCAAATCAATTTGTTTAATAAATAGAAAAAAACTTTGTACAAGTTTTTATTAATTATTAAATTATTAAAGTTTTTTAATTAAATAATTTCACTATTTTGGGATTTCTTTTAAGAATATGTAAATATTTTATTAATTATCGTCGTTAATTATTATTGTTTATGAATTATTATTCAACTATTGCTCCATGTAAAAATTTACATCTGCGCTTAATGTAAAAAATATTGACATAGAAGTATAGTGATAATAAGAAAATTAAAAAAGATAGTATTGTGGAAAATCGGTGTAGTATTTGATCAAAGACAAAAACCAGTCTGTGTATGTTGTGTAAGACTCTGTGTAGAATGCGCATCGGTACCACGTGCCTGGCGGAGCAAGTGGTGCCAAATGGAAACTTCCGTGTCCCTGTCGACTTATTCAGAATACCAGTAGAAATTCGACTCTTCGCTGTGCGTATGACCGGTACGCGTGTGACGTGGTCGCCGTCACCGATGGCGGTAATAAAAATTGTTTTTTATATTTTTTTTTAATTTTTTTTTTATTGTTTATTCTTCTACGAGCTGGATGTAACCGTTCGACGTTGTTGAATAAATATTTGCTTCTTATTTTTTATTTTTAACAGTAAAATTTTGCAACGAAAAAAGGTCTAAGGGCATTTTGGCTGGTATAATTTGCCATAAACGGTAATATAATAATGAAAAAATGTTTTAAATAAAATTATGATCTGAAATACTAGATTGTAAATCAATCAGATCATAATATAAATTGAGGTAATTCATGATTATAAAAACATTGTTTTGAGAGATTTACTTACAAGAAATATAAGCGCTCAGTTAGTCAATAATCCAAATGTAATATAAATGAAAAGTTTTTGTACAATAGTTGCATATTATACAGCTTTTCAGATAATTTTTTTTTTTTTTTAAATAAAAAATTAGCAATATCAAGTGAGAATTATGACATGCGTTTGCTGTCACACTTATAATTCTCCAAAAAAATTGGATAGATTTAAAAATATGTCAATTGGAAGTTCATTTTATTCAGCACAGATATCACAGCAATAATGTTGTATTATTATGTCGGCCAAATTTAAACCATAATCATAACCTATACGCGAGTAGGTTGGGGTATATGTAAAATACTATAAGAAATCATAAATTAAATGCAGCTCATTTTTAACCTATATATACCTGTTGGCTGCAAGAGACACATCAAGATAAGTTATTGCTAAATTATAAGCAAAAGTTCTATTGTTTAAAACTTATAAATTAAGTTATGGTTTATTTTTTAAATAAATACAAACATTTTTTTTATTATCAATCTTTATAATTAATATTTTATGGTTAATGTTAAAGTTTTTGAACATTAGTAGATACAAAGACTTTTAAATTCATTTCATTTTTGATATTATTAATTTTCAAAAAATTATATGGAATTAATATATATTATTTATATTAATGGGTAAAAAAATTAAACTTAAAAAGCAAGAATTTTTATAAATAACTTTTAAGTCCCAATAATGTTGACAACAACTTATAACTTTCATCAGATAGAACGATTTATTGTTCTTAAAAATTTGTTCCTATTGCCAATTTATTTAGTTTTTATTGTACATTATCTGAATGTTGGAAAAAAGAAATTATTTTATTGAGATTACCACCTTTAAATCCAAACTATAGATAAATTGTGTGTTAGTAAAAATGTAATACTAAAAAAAAAATAAAAATTTAATTACTTAGTACACAATCAGACCCTAAAGTAAATTTAAAAACTACATTAGTGTTAATATTAAACTAAAATTTTTAAATAATAACTAAAAATACTCATTAATTATTAATAATAATATTAGAAGATTTGTTATGGATAAATTTTTATAAATTATTTTAATAAACTTCTATTAAAAAAAATCATTTACAGCTATAAATTTACATCTTAATAGTTATAAAGTTAATTTTTAGAAGAAAAAGGGAAGACTATTAGTTTTGTAATAATTTTCAAGATGTTCAAATCCTAAGTTTTTTTTATAAATTGAACTTTTCGGATTAGTATATCAAAATCAATCATTTGTGTGATATTATTGTAAACTAAAAAGTAACAGGAAAATATAAGATAAATTTTATTACAAATACTAGATGACCCATGACAACTTTCTGACGTCTCTTATAACTTTTGATCCAATTGCAATTTTGTTTAATTTTTTTCTTGATAACTATTACCTTTTTAGACCACGTTAAAAGAACATTTATTATTTATCACTACAAAAAAAAAAAAAAATCATTATTATTTTATTTTTATTTGAAAGTAGCTTTTAGCACTTTTCTCATAAAAATTGTTTGTAGTTCAATAATAATATTAAGACAAGTACACATTAAGTTACAAGTACTTTAATACATTAAGTGTGTATGTAATGTGGGTGTGTGAAGCTTGTACTGGTATACTATACACTGTCATCATTCTTACATATAAAATATATTTTCATTCTAATATTAGAAGATTCATCATTCAGAAATAAATAAATAAAATTTTCTTTATTCATTTATCTTAATTATTTTTAACTTAATATCCTAGGTAATTAAGTTGTAAATTGATAAAAGTTTGGATCTATAAAAATTCTATTTTCAATAAATCACAGTTAAATTAAATTAATAAAAAATTGATATTTTAATATTGTTAGAGTGAAAAATTTATTTCTCAAAACATCCAAATAAAATATTAAATTATTAATCATTGCTGTAAATTGAGTCGTCTAGTTACAAAATGACAAATTTTAATACATTTTTTATAGTTTTGTTTTTTTTTAAACTAATTATGAGCTAATTCAACAGTAAATTTTTGTAAACATACGACCTCAATTCTTGACTAATATCAAGAAGTTTAATAATTTATTTAAATTGTAGTACACTTTTAACATAATCGTTCCTTTGTATTTTCAACGACTAAAAAAATAATATACTACATAAATTCTGTTCAATAGTCCTATAAATTACTGTGATACTGCTCATTAAATATTTTTTTGCAAAAACATATTTAAGTATACTGAAGCTAAAAAAAAGTTTCTTTTTTAATTTCATTGCTAACACTTCTAAAGAAAGTTTTGAAATGTTTAAATAACTAACAAGATTAATATTATGTTCAAAGATTTAAGCAAGATTTGCGTTCATCTTACATAATTACAACAAAATAAAAAATAAATTCTTGTTAGCTTATTTTAAATTTAACTAAAAATGGAATTCTGAAATCATTACAAGTTTTGTACTAAATTTATCATTATTGACTCTCATTATTGACTTTTAAGTTCTTTGTTATTTGAACCAACATTTTTTATGATAAATTGAGAGTATTTATTATTATACAAGCCTGTTATGATAATAACAGTTATAGATTCAAAAGACTTAGATACTCCCAACCTTAACTCGATATTTTAATATTATTCATAATGGATAAGACACTCATTTTTTGAAAACTATTGACAATTTTTAATTTTTATAAAGAAGAAAATTTTTTGGTTTAAGAACTCTACAATAATATGTAGTTCAATAATTATTTTTTCATCCTTTTAATATTATAAGCATTAAACTTTACTTTTTATCAATGAAAAGTTTTATTTTCAGTTCAGTAGATATGATAGAAAAAAAACTGAATAATTTTGTTCTTATAATTTTTTTTATCCGATCAAATTATTGTTTTTTTTTTAATTGTTTAAATATTTGGATTTTAAATAGAAATTCATTATATAATTAATAGTTTTCAAAATTATTATTGATTTTGATATTTAATATGTTAAAAGTAATCATTTTTAACCTACATTTTTTTGTCCTTTAAAGTGAAAGTTAATAATAAAAAAAAAATTATTTTTAACCACAACTATTAGCTCAACTTGCAAGTTTGAAATTGACATCATTAAATTTAATAAAATTATATTGATTTATTCATTTTTTTTATAAAAATCTCATTTTTTCATTAACTTAGATGATAGTTTTCACTATGAAAACAAACTAAAGTCTGAAATTTTTCTTTTTCATATTAAAGTATATTACATAAGCTTTAATTTAAAGCTATATATAAAAGTGTCAGTATTTCCGGAACACATTCAAAAATTAAGTTGAAAAAGTTCTTTTTTCTATATGTATTTTTAAGTTTTGAACTCTTACTGGATAATGGATAATAGTCCGATTAAAAAAAAAATATGTCACATAAAAGACGAATATAAATAGTATTTATCTTAAAAAAATTATAATGATCCATACATTTTTTAAAAAGTTATATATAATAAAGTTAGAAATGTAAAAAATAAATCGAGAATTTTAACACAAAAATAGCATATGATAGCCATTTTCACTGCAAAGATAAAATAAAGCCCGAATTTTTTTTTTTTCATAATAAAATATATTTTAATTTAAGATATATAAAAAAATGTCAGTATTTCCGGGACATTTTCAAAAGTTAATTTTTTATGAAATAGTTGTCATTTTGAATCCCCTCTTGTGAGCAGGTAAAGGGTGAAATTTATAAAAAAATTTATCAAATGATAGCTTAATAACTCATGTATCTATATAAAAAAAAACTTATATTGATTTTGTTATTTTTAAAAAAGTTATGTAAATTTTAATTTAAAAAAATTTCAAAAATGTCGAAAATTAGCGATTTTTAAATTTATAATTTTATTGGAGATTTCCCCAATTTACAGAGAACAAGAAAATTTTTTTTCAATTTTTGAGGGTAATATCATCGACTAGATACGATTTAGGATCCTTTCACGTATCGTTGAAAGAAATCGGTTCGGTGAGTGCTGAGAAAAAGTGGTAACAGACACAAAAAATAAAAAAAAAAAACCATCATAGTATAACTAATACCTTTTCAGCTTTGCATCGAAGATTAATTTATCAGAATAAAAGTGTTAATGTAGACTTATCAGAAAACCATGATTTTTTTGCATTTTTATTGTAATATATTACATAAATAGATATCATTGTTATGATTTCTAATTAACTTTTAGTTTTTAAAAAGATTCTACACTTGAAATAGGCTGAACTGAAATAATTTTAATGATTTACTTTAACTAAAAAAGCCAATCAAAAAAAGTTGTTAAAACGATCTATTCAATTGAGCGTACTATAATATTCGATTATAAATGTAAAGATTCATTGTTAAATTCAGGTGAAACTAAATATCAGTTTTTTTAGATTTATGGATTATATAGTAACACGTTACAAAAAAATGTGGAATGTTATAGACTGGTAGTAGCACATACAAATAGAGTTAAAAAATTAATAAATTTCAATGTTAAACTATTTACTTTTGTAGTTCAATACTTTTAACATATCAAAACTAGTTGGACAATAAATACTTTAAAATATTATAAATGAAAGATTTTAATTGTTTCAATTGATAAAGCTGGTTAAGCAATTTTTTATTTGATTAAGGGATTTTTTTTTTAATTTTTGAGTGTAATATCGTCAACTAAATATGAATTGTAATCATTTGATGTATCGTTGAAAAAAGTTGGTCGAGTGAGGGTTGTGAAAATAAATCGCAGCTACAAATAAAACCAAATAGTAAAATAATATTAACATGAAAAATAAATTTCTTTTCACGAGGAGATACTAAAGTGATGGGATTCTCGATAATTATTGAAGCTATTGAATCTAAATAAGATTAAAATCAAATATTTTGAAAATTTTTT